CAGCTGAATAAGAGCCATGAAAATACTTGACTTCTGTGACCAACTGTTGGATTCAGAAAAAAAAATAAAATAAACCCCTTTGACATACTGTTGGTATCAATAATTTTAGTTTACGTTGTAATGCTCTATTGCGAAGTTGCTTTTCAGGGCTTAGTGTAACAAGGACAACCAAGCCAAAAGCGCAGTCTGTCAGACTGAGTTCCCAAAGGATTTCCCTGTAGTTGGCACTCGGAGATTCTCTTTCTTCCTTGTGTTCAGCGTTCACTGTTTTTTCACTGTGTCCTATGGGGCTACGAGCCCCTGTTGGTGAAGTCTGTTTTCCACAGGCTTTCTACAGTACATCTTAAAACCGTTTGTCTAGTTGATGGTTGCTGTTCTCTTTAAAAGAAAAAAAATCATATGGTTTAATCTCCATAACTGTGTAATAATCTTTGAAATTGTGTCCTGACCATACTGCTGTAAGAATGTTAGGTATGTTTTTTGCTAAATGTATGTATGGTGTATCTGAAAGTTTGGAAATTAATTAGTTAGACCATAAAGGAGTTAGGAATATCTGAGTGGGGGGAGGTGGGAGTAGGAAGGGAAAATGACAACTGAAATGTAGAATATATTGTAAACATAGCTTGTTAGTTTAAACTGAGGTCTGAGTTTTGCTGTGCGTTTCATTTTTATAGTGGCTTCAACTTGTTAATTTTGATTATTTTTGCCTCTTCCTTTCCCTTCAAAACAATTGCGCAGCTGGTTAGTTCTTTTACCTGTGAAGAGGACAAAATGATTAAATCCTGCAGTTCAAAGGCTGCAGCTCTGTGTATTTCAAGACAAAATTGTACAGTGTGCTCTTTAACTATTGAGCGGTTTTATACAGTTTATGTAACAGAAGTAGGCTTTTAATTTTGTAAGAGAATCTTGTTTTGCCAAACCTAGTAACTGTTAATTGTTTGGAGGACTTCAAAATCCCTGTATGGGTCTATTTCAAACTTTTAAAAAAACATACATTTTTAACTTTTTTTTTTTTTTTTAACTGCTTGGTTTATTTTCTTCTCTCTGATCTTTTATATTTACGTAAGCTGTAGTACTTTAAGTACCTTTATTCCAAAAGTAGCGGGTCCTCTTTACTGGAAGTTTTGAATAAAACCTGTTGTTAACTGCTTACATTTGATTAAAACCTTGTCTTGTCCACTTCTTAGTAGTTTTTAACAAGCCAGATGCAGAGATGGAGGAACAACTAGAAATGAGGAGACGCTGAACTTAGACGTTTATAGTTAGCACAGGTTAGTGACCCTACTGCTATGTTCCGTATAGGGGATAAATGAGTCCTCTAGAGAGGAAGACTTCTTAACTAGGCAGGATCAGCGTGGATGCAGTAACAGTGAAGTATCCTAACCACCTAGTAAAATTTCTCTGTGATTTCAACAGATTTCCTCAGGAGCAGAGCGTTTCTCTGCCTTTTGCTAAGTATCTAGTAGAATCAAATCTGCAGTGCTGTGTGAAAGCAATGTGTCAGTAAGCGCAGTTGCATACTGCGTTGAGCTCTGAGAAGTTTGGAGGGAAATGTCTATAAAGTAACAGGAGCTCAAATGAGAGCTGGCCTTGCTATGTAGGTATTACATCTCTTTGCGTCTGTCTTCTCTATTTGTAAAATAGAACTAGTGAGTCTGATCTCACGTCAGGAAAGGTTTAGAGGTCTCCCTCAGAAAGCACCTCCCTCCCACACAGTATTTTTCATCAGGAGGGAATTGTTCCTTGATTGCCTGGGTTCCATTAGGAAAATATTTGGACACCGTTTTTGTGCATCAGCTTTTGCATAGTGTCTGGGCTGTTTGCCTTAGGCTGGTTTAACTTGTGGGCAGCGTTGCCTCTTTCTGGGCCCTGCAGCGATTTTGCTGGAGGCCTGCTGGAGCAAGGGCTGCCCCTTCAGCAGCTTCTGCCTGCCGTAGCAGTGGGAACCTCACGCTCCCTTTCCCCACACCTCCGCCTGGGGACTGTCCCCTGGCGGCTGCAGAGCCTCGCAAGCGGCCAGCAGAGCCTGAGATTTGGGGGAGACCGAGAAGCCCCTAGCTTGTGCCTAGCTATGAGCCCACTGAGGGTGCAGTGGGGAGAAGCACGAGGGGGAAGCTGAGCAATGGAGATGAACATCTTAGCCAGATATATGTGTGCGTATGGCACTGTGATGAGTAATATCCATTTTTGGAGAGTGAATCAATCCTGTTCTTTTTTTGTTGTTTTTAATCTTAATTCTATTGGCTCGGTATAGGTTTTTGAAATGAACCTTCCCCCTGCTCCCGAAGGAGAAAATTAATTGCAGAACGTTGAAGTTCCCTGGTGAGGAGAAACCTGGCTGGGAACCTTTTTTGTATATGTCAGTTTCAAAGACAGATTTGCTTGTTTGTTTGTTTTAATCCAGCTCAGCGTATATTTTCACAAAGAAGCATTCACAGACGCAAATGGAAGTCATAGAAAAATAAATAAAATTTAAAGATGACCAAAACCAGAACGAACACCGTTCGCGCTCTCTCTGGTTTTTCATCTCCTACCCCTGCCACGTTAACTTTCAGCTGTTCCCAACAGTTTCCTTCCTTTTATTGGAATATAGAAGTTGGGTAGTGGGTTTTGGGTTTTTTTAATCAGTGCTGTAACCAGCCATCAGTCGAGTCTTAGGAAATAAGAGTAAGACCCTTTCTGCTCTTCCTTGTGAAAGCTCTGGTAAATTCTGAAATAGCTTTGGAATAAGAAATGACAGTTTTGTTGTGAATGGTTTTGAATATTAGTGTCTTGTGTGTTTTGAGGCAGCCAGGTGGGAGAACAGAACAATGACAATTTGTTCAGATGTCATAGTTTGACCTTTTTGATCATCAAAGAGAAACTAGCGGACTTAGGTAGGTTTTTACAATTTTATATTCTCTTATATTGTTTGAGAGTGCTTTTGGGATAGGGGAAGGAGTTGTAAGGTTGGGTGGGTGTGTGTTTGTGGTTTTTAAACAAAGCTTTTTTCAGTATCCCTGAGGTCATTTTCTGCTTATAAAATCTTACTGTGATTCAGAGTTTGATGCAATCAGAAAATACGCACTTATATTTCAAGAGTCTGTCTCTAAATATATTACTGTAATTCCTCTCTGCTTTTCCTGACCTGGCATTAAAATCAGAAGGTCCTAGCTCTGTGCTATGTCAGAAACTTTTACTGCTAGTACTTCTGTGAGATCCCAGTTTTTATAAGTTCTCTTCTGTTACAATTTTTTTTAGTATGTTGTTGATATCTGTTGCAGTGCAGTGTACATAATACTGTCTTTATCTGTTATCTAGCTTTTTGTTTTTGGCCAGGGAACATGAGGTGCGCATAAAAAGTGTACCTTCCTGTGATGGCGCAGAATATCCCAGCTGGATTTTATTAGACGAGCAGAGTGGATTGGAGTAGCACCTGAGACTAATAGCCAAAAAAAAGAGGAGGTAGGACAGAAGTTATGCTGAAGGAGAAAACTTCTAGCTGAGGCTCTCGTGAAGATTTCTGGAGAGGCTTGGAGAAATTTGCTCGCTGATTTGCCCTGTTCTGGATAGCCAGAGTGAGAAAACCGGAAAAGGCATAGAACAAGACAGAAACATGAGAGGCCAGAAAGAAACTTCTAAAACACTGGAAGATGAGAGCTAGAAACTCAGAAGGGCCTGAACTGTCAGCTCTGTACCAGGTGAGTCCCTCTGGGCCTTTTGGTGTTATTTTCCCACAATTTCCTGGGCCTGATCTGAACATCACGGTCAAATTTCCTGGGCCTGATCTGAACATCACGGTCAACTCTGGAACAGGTTGCCCAGAGGGGTAGTGGAGTCTCCTTCCCTGGAGATATTCAAAACCCGTCTGGATGTGATCCTGGGCAATATGCTCTAGGTGACCCTGCTTGAGCAGGGAGGTTGGACTAGATGATCTCCAGAGGTCCCTTCCAACCTAAACGATTCTGTGATTCTGTGAAATACAGAAGAGACTAGTGCAGGGTGAAAAGCCTAGAGGGGTCCCCATTAAGAAAAAACAATAAGGGGTGGATAACTGTTTTTGACAAAGAACTGAGGAAGAGCAGTGAATGGTACAAGATGCTGAGACAAATATTTCTGTGGAGTTGAATGTCTTTTGGAAATTGTGCTTCAGCTTTTAAATTCTGGAAAGAATATAATTCTCCTGGAGCAGGGATGACTTTTAAAAGCCTTGGATGAACCTTTAAAAGCCTTGATCAAAGCCAAGAGTGGTAGTCATGGCTGCTTGTGTGGTTTTAGGAAGGGATGGAGAGAAATAATTCATGTCTAAACATATCCGGTATCAGAGAATCATGGACTTGATCTTCTAGCACTCGCTAACCTGACGTTGCTAGCTAGTTTGACAAAGCCATTCTCTTATTAAACTGCTTCTCTTGCTCCTGCAGCCATGTTCTCACAACTGCAGTTGTCTTTCCAGCCTCAGAAACTACAGCTCTGTTAAAAAAAAATAAATCAGTGCAGAGATGTCTGAAACTTATGTGGCCCTTTCTTGGTGTGCCCCTCTCCCTGTTTTTTTTTTTTCCTTTGTCTTGCCATACTTCAAACCATTGATCAATGCTTTAGAAGTTAGCTGTGCTTTGAGATTAAACTGCATCTATTAACTGCTCCTGGTTCCTTCATTCAGTACGCTGTAGCCTCTTACTCTGCTCTTGAGATTCGTGATTCATAACTGTGTGAACTGGCAGTCACCTTTTTCTGGATGTGTGCCTAAACATACAACATAACTCTACCATCACCAGTCATGGTAGAGCAATATATTTTTTCACATGCATCATCTCACAGTTCATTTTCTCCAGATACATTTATAATGTTGTGAGGGAGAGGAGTGAAAATGGCCCTTATTTTAGTTTCTCCCTTTCTGCTCTTGACTTAAACAGCTCAACCAAGAGAAACCCTCTTGGCATATTATTCTTTTAGGGGGCCGCTATCTTTTCTTTATTCCTCTAAGCCCCAC